TTCTGAAAATATTTTAGATCGATAGAACAGGTAAGGAAATGTGAGAGGTGAAATTTTCAGAAAAATCATGCTTTGCGTTTTCCAGAAACGTCTAACCTACCATCGACCGTGAGTCACGCTGTATACGAATACACATAAATAAAACAAAATATAAACCATTTCAGATAATAAGCAAATGAATTATTACAGATATGTAAGCATCTGAAATACTAAGAATTAAAATATATCATCGTAGTATTTCTTTAAGTCATAGTAGGCTTTTTACAAAAGTGTACCTTTAACTAATTTTCTGAATTTTTCAATATTTGCTATTGCCCTATAGGACATTGGAAGATGGTTGTACATTTTCTTGCTCTCATATATCAAAAAAAAAATTTGTAATTGCTAATTTTGGGATTGGCAGGGGTAAATTCACACTTCCTCTCGTTTGGTAACGTCTGTCATTATTTGCTGCTTAGGTGGAGTATTTTTTGTGAATTAAGCAAACGGTTTCTAACAGGTATAAACAAGGAACAGTAAGAATTTTCTGACTGATGAAAAGTGGTTTGCAGTGGTCTTGTGATTTTCCCCTACATATTTATCTGACTGCCCTTTTTCGTAGAACGAATATCGAATTTAGTAGTTGCTGACTAAAAAAACCCCAAAATGGTAATTCCATATCTCAAGAGCGTCTCTATCAAGAAAAAATACACAGTTCTGGCTGAGGGTTGATTGAGTTCGTTAAAAACAACTCGAACTGCATAACAGCCAGATGCTATTTTTTTGCATAAATATGTTATATGCTCAACAAATGTTAATTTATCATCTGTAAATACCCCATAGAAGAGAGACAACTCCCCAACCTTTCTTCGAAGTTCCAGGCTATCAAGTTTGCAAGTGATGTTGGTGTCTTCAATCAGGCTGATGGCTCTTTTCTAGATGAGATCCAGCAGCTTCAGTGTATGCTTAAGGGCGGAGCTCCAAACATGGGACCGATACTCCAAAGAGGTATAATGTGAGCTTCATGAAGCATCAAAAGTTGCTGGGGTGGATACAGTTTTCTGGTTCGGAACAGTGTTCTAAGCTTTCGAGAAGCAGCCTTTGCAATTCCATCGACATGATTGTGCCAAGACATATTGGTGTCCATTTTAACCCCCAACAAACTTATCGAAGCAGAAAGCGGAATTGTCTGTTCTGACATTATTATATCCGGTTCAGAGACATTGACTTTTTAAAGAAAACAGATTTCTAGGTTTTCCTGGTCACTTCAATATTAGAGTTATTTCCAAATAATTGAAATGTTCTACAGTAGTACAAACTTTTTTTGATCAAAATACAACCTAAATCTCCGCTTCTTCATACAGAGTTAATCCTCATTTCCAACTATTCCACCGAACTTCTTTTTATAATCATCTTCACAGTTAACTACCTCCCAGGAACTTTAAAGCTCCATCATCGCATTTTCCAACTTTCAACAACTAAAAACGCCAATGTTCCTGCAACTGCGAGTGTTGAGCAGTTTATAACAACCTCATTAAACCTCCCTTCGGCAAAACACTCGAACAACCGCTGGCAGAGATCGAACCGAACTACATATACGATTACAATCATCCCGTTTTGTTTTGATGAAGTGCAGAGCAAAGATTGGAATCATACACTACACAAGCACAGAGGCATTGAGCGAGCTCCTGAACACCTGAACACATCTTGTCGACGAGACCCTCGAATTTCGAGGCAAGGGTAAACAGAACCACTTATGCAAGTCGTGAAAACGTTGAATGTGATATTGAATAATTCAATCGAATGTTGGTATCGCGTTATAAACAAACCGAGAGCTTCTGTGAGAACTCTGCTTGCTCTTGATATGCGGACGTATTGTGTTGCTGA